ATTGGACGCCGTCGTCACTTGTGGTGTATGGTCTGCACCCGACGCTCTTCTCGTTTTTTGAAAGGAGGGTAAGTGGCCCACGCTTGTCGCTGTGTTGAAGTTCATAAGGGAAGTGCTATGCTCTTCCGCGAAAGATTTAGTACGAAAACTGTCGACACTTCAGAGCAAGAATGACCCTGCGATTGAACTGGTGTGACTTGCACACGAAAATGAAAGGGGCGTGAGCATTAGTGAAGAAAGAAGAAAAAGAGTGCGTCGAAAAGCTAATGATGATATTGAGGGCTTATTCGCTTTTGTATCGACTGTGATAAGGCAATGACACATAGAGCGCAAAAAAAAAACGGAGCGATAGAGCACAACGGATGGGAGGACGCAGAAACTGCAAGTTATGACGAGAACAAATGAAGCGGTTGAAGCGCTCTTAGAAAGGCTCTAGAACTCTTGCCTGGTGTGAGAACAGACACAAGCAATTTCAGTGAACTCACCAAATGGACCAGTCCGCCTGAACTCATGCAGGGATGGGTCTTCGACACCATCATCAAGTGCAGCGTTGGTGTAGAAGAGTACATGAAGGAATGCGGTGGCAGTTCAGCATGCAATCGATCGCGTCACTATTTCTCAAAGTCCCATCTACCAGTGCGAAATCTCCACTTTCATATTATTTTTATCAACTGGGTACAATGCTGAAGGTTTTGTCAATTGATCAGTTTTCATTACGGGAAATCCGGGGAATACGAAATTGTTGAAACGGCAAAGTCCCATCAATTTAATTCTCTAAATTTCGTCAGTCTTCCGATTTTTCAAAAAAATTCTCGATCTTCTTCAGAAAGGCAACCCAAACTCAGCAAATACGACCCCTTCTCACAAAATCACGAAATGCGATTCCTCACCTCACTTCTAACTCAGCCGAACTGATAGTTGATCTGCTGTAGTATAGCACGAGCTTGGAGAAATGGGTAGAAACAGGTGGAGCGTTTTTTAAGGCAAAAGAAACTTAGTAAGAATTACACTCATTATTAGCTAGGGAGCGAAATAGAAAACTCTTCCTCTACATACAAAGGAGAAGTCGAAGAGATATTTATTGCAAAAATGATAAAGCATCTATAACATAATGAATTTCACAGAGAATAAAACAACACTCAAGTCTATTTGCATGATGACCTTACTCAAAAAATCAGCTGCGTAAAATTCAGAAATACCGGTTTTCCCTGTCACTGGATATATACATACAAATTCTAGTTGGTAATTGACACGAGTGAGCCATATTAAATTCACAAGAACAGCGTTCTTTCGAATTTTGCACCTAATGAGGGAGTGTGAGTGTGCTTTATTATAACGATGAAGTGAGAGATGGTTTTCATTGCATGTATTCCATAGATTGCTGATAATACTCATTGTGAATGCGGTTTTCAAGAGGTCAAACAATCGTTGATAGCCATGCGTGTGAAAATGAAACTCTTGTGCATTTGAAAGTATACTTACTACTAAACAAAGAAGTGAAAATGTTACTAAAGAAAAAGGTCAAGCAAACTCTGCTGACATCCGCTTTCACACAGAGTATTATCAAAATCGACGACTAGAAATTTGCATTAAAACTTCGTATTAGTAAAGTCAACGCTGTGAGAATAGGAACATTGTAAAATCAGACACGTCATTCGAGAAATTCACCATGGCTAGAGGTCTGTTGTTCTGTGAACGAAATACAAAAGCACATGAACATTGTTGTGAGAAGCGATTGTAGATCACATGGGTCGATCCATTTTCACAAAATATATCGACCAATATCTGAAACAGTCGGAACTCAGAACTAGTGCAATCAAGAAGTTTGATGATTCTGCGCTGAAAGCCACGAAAAGCCGTGATTCAGTATAGCGCTTAAGTTTGAATTCCTTTTGAACTTGGTACATTTTCAGCCGGAGCGGCAACACTAATAGTGCGTTTCTTCAGAGAGCAAGGTTACCGGACCAAAATACACAACAACTTTTATGCTACAAGAAAAATAGAGCAGTGCTGGTTACTCTAAAGGTGTTAAATGTGGTTAGGGGAAGAATCATTGAACACTTTCTCTTATTCTTCCAACAAACTCGGACAGTGACCCTGTGGCACATCAGCCTGAGACTTTTCTTGCTTCGTCATAATCTGTGTATTTTCTGTTTGCTACAATAACTTACAAAGAAGGGAAAAGGACTCACACGATGTTAAACACGAGAAACGACAATGGGAACATTATCATTGAGCAGCGGTCTACCTGAAATTGGCATAACAAATACACATCTGATCTTTATCGTTTTGTTGATTGCCATTCGATGGATAAACAAATTATCACCTGTACTGACGTGACTGTCCAGTCTCGATCGGGTGGACAGAGTGCGTACACTAATCGTTGTACCGCATTCCGCCAACAACTGTACTTCTTTTCCTCGTCATACGAACATCCGTCTTGGTCCACGAACTTAAAAAGGAAATTCATTCGAATCAAGCACCGTGACAGATTGGAAATTAAGATGCATTGAAATCGAGGGAACAGCAGCACCGCTACATATGGACCCACAACATCGGATAAGCGCGTATATGTGACAATGGTTTGCCACAAGAAACTAAAACGGCTTCGAGAGAGAAACCAAACAAGCACTGCTAGTGAGGCTTTTGTCACAACACTTCACCGGCACTGCTGTTGAGAAAAAGTAGGGAAAAAATTCTGCACCACCAATCCCGCTGCATAAAGATTTCACCCCGAGAAAGCCTAACAATGAAAAACTCGCGTGATCCAGTCGCTGACACCAGCTGCAGTTCTACCTAAATGAAGAACAATGAAAATCTTAGCAAACCCTAACTAGTTCCAAACTTTTGATTCGGAACGCTTGAGTACTAAAATCAGTATCTAATGGTCAAGTTATGTAGGTTACTTTCAAATGAACGATCCCAGTATTGGCTTTTTTATTTTGTGTAACTGGCTGGGTCATATCGTCGCAGAGCAATGGAGAAATAAGGACGCTAAAGGTAATCCTATAAGCGACATTCTAACAAGTAGAAACGAAGAAAAAAATAAATCAAGGAAATCTCAAAGAAAACAGACCTGATCGATAGGTTTGCGCTGGTGAACGACGGAGTTAGCTGTTTGCTTCGTGATGATGGTGTTGTGGGCAGGCGACTCCTTCGGCGGTGAATGTGCGGAAGTGAGAGGTAACCGCCGCCTGACTCCTTCACCATTTGAACGATTCTCGTTTCGTCGATTTTTTCTGAAGCATTTCTTCGATCTAAAACTCGATCGATTCCTTCTACGTCTTTTCATAAGGACAGCGGGCAGTGCCATTGCTTTTATTTGTAAAAAGGCCATAGGAAGATCACGCATCCAAATTAGAAGATCAGCTGGGTCTCCAAAAAGACAGCCATTAATATGTAAAATCCGGGTGCCTAATGACTAGAATCATCCACTGGTTACCAACTATTTGTGTCCAAGTTCAGTGGTAGCGTCAAACCGCGCTCCGGATTATGGTTTTCAGAAGAAAAAAGTTATTCGAAAAAAATCCCATCAAAACTGACCGTATTTGATTCAGCCAATGACCGAGCACCTTTGAGCCGATCTGTCGCTCTCGTTCCCCACCTGAAATTCGCTCAAGATTGACTCATAGTGATTTGAAGAAGATGGTTTTATTAACAATGATTATCCTGAAGAAGTAATCGCCACAGAGACAGATGTGGGGTCTCATCCGGTAAGAGGGGGCATTGCGGTGCACGGTCTGCTCTAATGCCAATTTGGCTCAAGGAGTCCTTTAAAGTTACGAGCTGCTATCAGCTTTTTTCCTATGTTATTTCTTCAGGTGTTTTGTGTAATGTATGTATTCTTGTACTAGATGACATTAACGTCTACGAAAGTAATATTCACCTAGTCAGCAGGTCAGGACTAAGCCTAGGAGGGGGAGGAAGTCCCCGGGGAAAACCAAGATTGCTCACGAGGGCTCCTTCCCTTCTGAGGCTTAGTCCGTCTACAACAAATATTGGGCTCTCCAATGTTTGAAATCTCTGGATTGCTATGCCCCCCCCCCCCCTGACGGATCGAGACCCCCAGAATTGTTGTGAAATTACTTTGACAGGAAATTTTCCTGCATAAAAGTGAAAGAAAAATACCTACCTATTCAACTGGCAAACAATAGCTAATTCGACGAGCGTACAAAAAATAAAAATCACAGAAAATATCATCCATACATCAAGGCACTGAAAGAAATAACTGTTGCAGAAGTTCAAAAATAAGTAGCACGGGTGGCACGGCATACGTCTGCATTCAGGGCTAATCGTCCTCCGACCCATCCAGACAAGGGGGTCGTATTTAGCACACGGAAAGAGGGTGGGTTCGTAAAGCAGAAAGACCAACTGTAATCATGGCAGTAATCGAAATCTCAACTAAAATTGCACCCTCATACCGCATTCCGAAACAACAGGCGCGTGCGCGACGCATGGTAGAGCCGAAGCCACTAGTTGTTACCGCTCAAAATTCGATTTATCATGAGCGCAAAGATTGCTTGAAGAAGTCCAGATGTTTTCGAAGGTAATTTTGTGCAAAGAAGTGATGGAAGCCTCAAGGCCGAAAACTCTCAGTAAGGCAAAGATCCGAGCGTAGGATTTTCCAATAAATGACCATTTAGAGAATTAGAGCATTTTTCAGAGAGCAAATAATTTGTAATCCTCAAATCTCCCTACACGCCTCCGCCCCTCCAATCTCGCATTTAAGGGAAGATGTGCCCTTCCGAAAATAGGTACGAAGTGAGTTAAGTGCACATTCCTTCGAAAATTCCAACTTACCACTTCATAAGACTGTCAAACCTTTGCAGAAAAATGGGGGAACTAAAAGAGAGATTACGTTGATCCCATATTTGCTTCATTTTTGTAAAAAGGAGTCCCAGTGAAGGGTTATGCCCGTTTTAAGTGTGTTTTTGCACAGCCTCCCTCTCTTGCCATGCGTATGAGAGTTTCGCAAGCATGGGTCGGTCCTACCGTTGGCGACTTTTCCGAAAGTTTTTACGGTTTCTTCCCATGCTGCCAGATCAAAAAATTTCACGCCCCACCACACTCGCCATCATGGTCGCCCTAAACTTACTCATGAATTCCAAGATTACATCGAATACGACCCCTCCCCCTGCAATGTAAACAAAATACGACCCACCCCCGCTGGTACTTGTCGCAACATAGGATAGACCCTGGTTCTTAAGCTACAGGGCCAGAGATGACGACGTATGCGATGGGGTCTTTCATGTGACATTCCGCACATATACACATTATTACTACAAGTGAGGGGAGGGGAAGCTTCGGTGCATACTTCTGAGAAGATGGAGGAAGAAGTCGTAGAATTTTTGAAATCGGCCGAATGCGACGTCTGACCCTGCTTGCATCCAGCCGTATCAAAACCTGGGGCAGTTAGCTGAAAGTTATCTTACCTTAATGTAGCTGACACGTGGCAGATGACGAAGAACGTTGCCGAATTGAAAGGTGAGCGCAAGAAGGGAAGACACTCCAAGGGTAATCCTGAAACATCGTTGCAAAGATTTCTCGAATTGATGCTGGAATTTTTAAATCCAGTTAGTTAAGCATCAACAGAAACGATGAAGGGCCCAAAAGAGGTTCGAGCGTTGAATCCACTATTGTAGGCGTCCATGACGCGTTTCGTAACGTTCCATGTATGTGGTCGTGTTGGAAGTGGGTATGTTACCGATTGATAGAATGGTCTGCGGAGCCAGTCGTACAAGTTTTTTGTCCTCCCAAGAGAGCACCATGGAAGCGGAACCCGTCGGGCTGGAAGGATTAGTTGGCCTAGGCGAGATTCCGGTATTTGGCTCTAGGAAGATACATGTGGGAAGTAACAAACCTTGCGCTACATATATCATCTTTATCCATAAGGCGCATCATTGCAAAACAGATTGGTGAAAACAAGAGCAGCAATGATACCAAAATGCCTTGGCCATCCACGCGCATTATATAATTCCAATTTGGCGACGAAAACTGCACATTCTATTAAATCTAAGGTGAGCTTGTTTTTGAACACTGAGACGGACATAAAGAATAAAAGTGTATTTAGTGTTGATCGATCCCTTTTCGAGATGCGCCATGCATTCTACCTCATTCACTGTCTAGAAGCATTTGCGATAACTTTGGCCTTACACGAATGGCCTGCGGGCACGCAGCCGATGTACAAGTCAGTGTTCTTATCATCACAGATGAGCCTGGTACCAGTTTATAAACCTGGAGGGACGGAAGGCTTGGTTGTCCTGAACGAAGTTCGATCCAGGATATGATTCTCGGACCGCACGCGCGTTAAGCAGCACCACTTGCCACAACACCACTTGCACAGAGAAAAAATGGAGATGCTAATGATGGACTGAAGCCCGCAGCTGCAAAACACAGCATTTTCGATTCGCTCTGCAAGCCTATCGGAAATACTATTTCCATTTCCGACACGGATATCGGAGGACTTATCATCGAAATGGGGCACAGGCGCTTCACCAGGACGTGACGGACATTGACTTTTGTGGACTAAATGTTCAGAAAAGGACTCGATTACTGGTCAGCCGCCAGAATGAAGATGGCCACCATCTCTTCCGCGGTTCGACCGCATGAACTCGCTGTCAGATCTCTCTTGGGATGAAGCAGGTGCCGCCATGGGCCGCCTATCTCGTAATAACTTCGTATAGCATACATTCTACGTCCTTAAAGTTCGGGGCGCGGACACGGAGTGTAGAAAGTCATGAGACGCTAGTTCAACGCGATGTTTTAATGCTAAACTCGACTCCATGAACTTGGATGGTCTGCATTTGAAGCGACCGGAGTCAACGCCGGAGAGCCCCCCCCTTTTGTCGGTCCCCGGTTTCTACCCTCTGTGAGCTGCAAGACATGTCAAATAGAGCAAGGGGCGAGATAACTCACTGCTACAACCGAATTACAGCCTAAAACCCCACTGGACACCTCCAAAACGCGATTGTCGACAGAGGAACTCGAAGGCGCAACTGCGGAATAAGACCACGACGCGCTTCAGTGCGACTGATGGTCGGCCTCAGAAAGAAGATGTACGCTTAGAGCCTTCATTTTAGGAGGAGGTGTTATAGAGAATTGGAGACTTATAGCTTGTGATCTTGTGTGTTATCATTGACATCGAGCCCTACATAAACTTCTCGACGAACGAGGTTCAGCTCATTTTCTGCAATAGATTCCGCCCTAACACTGGTCGTAACACATGAACTCCATCCTATCGCTCACTACTCTTTAATTGATAATCTTTCCCAAATATAAAAAAGTATTATGTCATTCCACTGTTACCTTGCCGAAACGGATCGAACGTCGAAGAAAAACCGACCCAAGAGCTGATAACCGTCAATGATGTGGGAAAATACGATTGAAAAAGGTAGAAACCATAACGTCGAGCGAAAGTGAACTTCACCTAAAGCAATATTCCTCATAAACATGATCAATGTTAATGTGGGCTTTGTTGACCACGAAATTACTAATTCTTTGAATTAGCTTCCTTGCTTGTCAGTTCGTTAGTAAAATTGAGTACCTCTGCGCAAAATGTATTGGCTGTTTCAGAATACTAACTACACGAGGAAGGCGGAGACAGTTTGAGAAAGTCAGTGGTGAAAAGCATAGTAACGTCGCCTGACCGCATCCCAGTGCACGCCTAGGAGAGGTAAGCAAAACAGCCCTTTTGGCGTTTCGGCTGGGACCGTATGCTGAATGTTGGGTAGGGGATGGGACCGGTTTACTTCAACTCGGTTGGTACGATAGGAGAGTACTGACGCAAGTGGTGCAGCTGGTCCAGCAGCTCCGCCAGAAGGTCTGGTTTGCTCACCCCAGGACTAAGCCTTGGAGAGGGGACGGACCCGTCCTCTCTTTAAGGCTTAGTTCTGAGGTAAGCACCAAATTGTGTCGGTTCCAAGGACCGAGTTGAAGTGGTCCGTCTACCGTCGGAGACTCCATCCCCTCCCCAACATTCAGCACACGGTCCCAGCCGAAGCGCCAAAAGGGCTGGTTTGCTTACGTCTCTGCGAAGAAGTCAGATCATCGTAGCACACGCCCTTGATGTCGCGCCGAAAAGCCCTCGCGCCGCGGACCAGTCCTTCCAAATCACTCGCCTTCAAAAATCGTGCTCTTCATGTGCACGACCGGCAAGAAGTGAAATATGTTACCTTTGCTCGATCCCAGATCCCGTTCGGATACTCTAATCGTTGATGATCGGTCGACCAACCAATCAAATCGAAGTCGGGTAGTTCCACCTGAATAAATTATATCATTGTTTATGCTGTTGAACTGAGCAAGAGGGTATTCCCATTTCTTAATAAAGTAGGCGGCAACAAAAGTACCCAGGGGCTTGCGAAGGCCATGGGCTTGCCATGAGGCGTTACAAGAAGCAGTGATCATTACTCCACTGTCGCTTTTTTTGCCATTCTTCTACGGCTGGTTTGCCTAATTTACGCCCATTTCTTTACTTTTTTGCACTATACGTTCACTTTTTGCGCATTACGTACATCTCTTCAGTTTCTTTGTAGATTTCACTTGTTTACCTCTTCACTTTCCTTGTAGATTTTTCTAGCCGCTTCACTTTTTCGTTGAACCAGTTTGCAAAACTGTGCTGTGCAGAGTTTTTGCAACTGGTTCAACGAAAAAGTTTTTGCGCAAATTCTCGAATTTGACCCAATACACTTCGAATATTTGACTTACAGGCTTAGACATAGTGTATTACAGGCTGAATTCTACCGAATTGTCCCATGCCCCATCACACGATGTCCTTTAACCTTCCCTGCTTCGTTCACCAATTGTCCCCCTTCCCACAGTAGTTGGGCTCCACCATTTCAGCCACCTCAGTCCACCTTTTTCCCGGTCCTTGGGGCTTCTTGGAATCGAGTTATGAATTTTTGTCGCAAACTCCTCTCACCAATAGCAGCTGTCCTCCCGAGCACTGTAGGACTCGACCCCCTCTTTTCCCGCTCGCAGACGTCTTTCGATTCGAGTGCATGACTTTCACCTCGCAAACCCGGCCTACTTTGGTCATGGCCCCGCTATAACCGATGACTGCTATTGAACCGTTGGCCTCCCCCCCACCCCCCTCTGTCACACCTTTTTCCCGCTCACCAAGCCTTCTCCGCGCTCGCAATCATGAGGACTTGTAAAAAACGCCGTATCAATTCTGGAGGAGCGTTCTAGCTTAACAGGACGGCAGAGCGCGCTCCATTTTTCATAAAGCACTGCTTTTTTGGAGAACGCCCGCCCCGCCACCGGGGTGGGTCTCCCTAATTCGATGTGACTTACCAATGCACACCTTAACCCACTTTTTGGCCCAGTTTCGAGGTTGTTTTGTCACTGAAATTGAAATCTTGGTCTTCAGTACAGTTCATTTTCGATGCACGCCACGCCCAAATTTGTAGGCCGGGAGCTCCGCTTAGCTGATGTGTTTGTGTTTGTACTTCGTGAGACCTTGCCCACCCGTCCCACACTTGACCCGGTCTCTCCAGGCCGATCCCGAGGAGCTAGGGAATTTCGTGACAGACATACAGAACGACAGACGACAGAACGACAGACGAAGCGCTTTTTAATAGTAAGTAGGATGTTTAGATTCCTACTTTCTGTGGAGACACTGCAGTTTTTTTGGGTTTCTACTTGCCTTCATTGTTTTGAATTATGATCTCGCTATTCTACACCATTTAGTTTTTTTTTTACTTTTTGACGCTTGGGGGAGGGGGGAGTGGCGCAAAAGCGGTGAGTACTTGTTCGGTTGCCGTTGCAAGGTACAGCGAGCGAAATACAGGTCTCACGGACAATTCCGACTCCGTTTTGGGAACTGTGTCACTAACTACGAGACTGTGTCTGCATTCTGCTGCAGAGCCGTCTCTCACATGTAGAGAACAGAGAATGTAGAGTATAAATTATTACAGCGGCGATAAGGCCATGGAGGAAACGGGAGCATTTCGAAGTTCCCGATCCGGTCTCTTGGCTTGAATCAGAAAGGGATAACGTGGCACAAGACTACGGATAAAGCTTGAATGCACCAAGGTGATCATACCTTTTCCATCATTGTGATAGGAACGTCGTGCCAAAGCAGTCGTACTTCGTCCGTATTGAATGAGTAGCTCTCCAATACGATCTCACACGACAACGAGTCGAAAGGAAACATCTGAAAATGGAAGTGTCACATCACTTCATTGATGCTACACTGTTCTTGAAAATATAGGTAAACCCTGATTTTTGCTGTTTCAAAATCTGATACCTTTGGTGGAACGTGATTATCATCGATAGATTTTTCATGCAGAACCCTGGTAAGATTTTCTGAAGAAATCCTCATGCCGTTAGTCTAACATATTCCTTATAACAAATTTTCACCCTTCAGAATTCAGGTGCATTTTGTTCTCAAAGGCACAACCCAGGCAGGGGTCGTGTGAACGCTTTCCCTTCGTTCTGTAGTATAGAGCCAGAGGATAATCATAAATGTGGCGCCGTGCACGGAAGCCAATCGACAAAGCGCGCTTGGGCCTTGCAAGTTAAGCTGCTGAAGCTGCAGTTTTTTCTCTTATTAGGCTGTTGTCTGGCGCCCTCTCATCTGTAGCGCTCTCTCACCTCATACTCTCCTCTCCGCGCTTAGTCTCTCATTCCCTCAGCACAGCCGATTAGGAAGGTGAGTGAGCCCTTAACCTAAGCGTTTTCGACGGATTCTTTTCCTTTTTTCTTTACTGCCGGCCCACTTCGCACCAATACATTCACATTCGTGTGCAAGAGCCACACCAATGTGATCCTGGGGCATGCCTTCAAGAAAATTCATCACAGAAAAGCATAATCCAACTTAAAAGCGCGGACTGACGCGCATTTGACACCGAAAGATTTGACGTCGGCTATCTAGCATGGCTCAGTCTAGACGCGGTTGCCTGGGTACGCCCATCGACTATCTAATCACTCGCCGCAGTCTATACGTGGCGAGTGATTAGATAGCAGAGAGAGCGTAGTGTTGAAGAGGGCACAGCGATGAGAGTCGCATCAATGCGCAAATCAACGGGCAAGGAAGGGGTCCCATTTCTCGGTTTCGGGCCGTTCAAATGGTTTCTTCTTCCATCCCTGCTCGACCACCTCTACCCTTATTCCAATGAGCTAACTTTTCATCGTTGATTCTGCCTTTAACCTCCGCTGGCAAAAAGTTCTTACTGTAAGATGCTAGGAGCACCCTGAATGGTAAAGAACGACACTCGAGTGAACACATGATCATATACAGTGCGTTTCAAAAGTATGTGCACACCCTCAAAATTCACGTTTGAAAGGGAACCATGAGGTTTCGTGCTATGAAATCCTTCTCAATCGATTTCTCGTAGTCGATAACCTATCAATGGAAGCAAAGCAGATAATATCGCCTTCACTTTCGAAAAAAATTTTGATGAAATTTTTTTCTTTTTTTCAAAAGTATGTGCACACTTAACAAAAGACAAAAACATAGCTGAGATTAGAAATCAGTGGGGCCTCCAGAGTTTCTAATTAGCTCAAACATCCTGTCCGGCATAATCTGAACCACGTTTGGCATAGCTGTTTCGTCGCTGTCGGCCCAAATAGCCTCTACCGCCGCCTTCAGTTCATCCGCGGTATTATACTGCCGGTTGCTAAAGTTAACGCCTTGATCAAGGGCTCCCTATAGGGTTGCAGTAAGGAGGACACACAAGCCAATCTATCGCTTCAGCACCATTTGGTTAAGGCCATTCTTTGGTAGATTGCGAAGCATCGAAAGACACGTGGTCCTGTTGCTAAAAATGCAATTTTCGCTCCGCTTCGCTAAGGAAGGGCAACAGGTGACATTGGAGCACTGCTTGGTATTCTTTACAGTTCATACGCAATAATGGAACGGCAACTTCTGAATTTCCGCTGATTGCGAAACCGCCGCAGACCCATCAACGGGCCTCTTCCGAAATTCCTTCTCGAGAGCACGAGCGACTCACGGCCAAGCCTCTCCAGTAGTAGCAAAATCCACCCGGCCCGTCAAGATCGAACTCTTTCCATGAGTTAAGATTACCTGAGGAGAGAAAGTCCATAAAAAGTTGCTTGTTTTGAAAATAGGAAATTCTCGAAAAACCGTGTCTTCGCCCGGTGTCCTATCCTATGTTGCCATGTCTGTACGAGCAGACTCCAATGTGGCTAACTTGTGCTGGGCCTTGAAGTGAGTAGCCTTTCTCAGCGTCTGTCGAGTGGTGTATTCATTTGAGCGGATGAGGGGCTTAGTGGTCATTTTCGAGGCTGGAATAAAAATCTGAGCTCGGACTGTCAATGAAGAATCCGACAGGATGTGGGCTACTCTTTTGTTGTTCTGAGCAGTCAAGGATCGTGGATGGAGCGGAGTGTGTGCTGAGTATAATTATCAGGGTGCCAGATAAATCTTCGAATGCATTAAGGAGAACGACCAAGTTATCGTGCGATTTCTAGATTGGAACGTTCATTATCATGCAGAACCTTGATCTGAGCTTGCTCATCTTCAGGAAGAAGTATGGCGCGAATTGACATGATGACGAAATGAAAACAGCAAAGTCGGATTGAAATCGGTGGAAAATTCGGCGCCAAAATCTGATCTTCTTCAAGTGTGCACATACTTTTGAAACAAAGAAAAAAATTTCATCCAAAAAATTTTTCCGAAAGTGAGGCGATATTATCTGCTTTGCTTCCATTGATAGGTTATCGACTACGAGAAATCGATTGAGAAGGATTTCATAGCACGAAACCTCATGGTTCCCTTTCAAACGTGAATTTTGAGGGTGTGCACATACTTTTGAAACGCACTGTATATCCGATGTACTTTGAATATTAAGAGAAAGGAGAGGAAATCGTGGAAAATCTTCGAGTTGGGGACGGTATAAAGTTGTTATAAAGCAAAAATACCTTAACACGTTGACGACCATTGTGCAGCGCATGCGCTGCACACACAAATTATTAAATTTTTTCGCGCATGCGCTACTTCTTTTCTAACTTCTTGCATCTATTCTATAGACCACACCATAACATGACTAGACACGGCGAGGTTCATCGAATGGTTGAATATGCTCCTTTTTAGCGCAAAGGTTTTCCAAGTCCTACGAATTTCCCAATTGTGTTCATTCCTAGTTTTCTTTATATTCTGACAACCTCGGTCATAAAAAAGAGTAGTAAAAGCAAGTATAGACCTACACATATAGCAAGATACAAGTTTTTAGTGAAGCAACCGAGTCAAAATAATTTTGAGGTCCACTACAGCAAGAGCTACTGAAAATTGCCTTTTCATTGCCAGAAAACGTCCATTCGATTGAACTTTTACAGTTGTTCCTTCTGAGAAGTTTGATACATCAAATATCATTCGAAACATTTTGTTGCATCCGGGTTTTGCATAGTTAAAGCTCAAAATTCACGGATTTTATGTGAGGCGGCGGCGCCTGCAAAATCGCTCTGGTCCCACGCGGTGCAAAACCCAAAACGCGCGTTGTCGTCAACGTTAATAATTAAAGTTGAGACAGAGCTCTCAAGAAACACAGGTTACAGGTTACTTCGTATGTGTGGATCATTGAACTGTCATAAGAATTTCTTCAAAGCAATACAACAAGTAGAACAATGCAAAAAAAATTTGTGGGCTTTACCTATACTTATGACACACAGTGTATCACCATGAGATTTACTCAAATAAATTTTGCCATGCAGGATGGCTATTAAAGTTGAGAATGAACCGAGCTTACCTTCAAGTTGACCGAGCAAGGAGTCTTCACGTTTAACCTTAAAGAAAAAAAACCTTTTTGTTCTGAACGGAAACGGATCAGAATTGAGAAATAGCTCATTACAAAGCTAGTTCTCCAACTGTAGTGACTTTGTTGTTTGTCTACTATATTAAGCAGCTTTCGAAATCAAGTTTATGATGCACAAAATTATAAAAATTTTGTGTGTGTGGATGCAGCAATGTCATGCAGTAATGCGAGAGTCTATAGATACAATGGTGATCTGTGTGTGCATGGAGTGATTTCAAAGCCTTCCATGAACGGCAGCATTGTTTAGCGTGATATTCGTGGCGCGTTTTATGTATTTACTATGTCAGCTGAGGCTTTTACGTGGGTTATGGGTTACATCATTTGACTTGAGGTTTTTATACAGGGTGCGCCAAAATTACGGAGACAGCGACTTCGAGTTGCCTAGGATGAGCAAGGTGCAATTCTTTGAAAACAAAAATGCAGTGACGTGCACAGTCCCATTCTGAATCGTCGACATCCATGCAATTTTTGAAATTCCTTGGTTTGTGTTTATACGGGTCCTCAGAAACATCGAGGAACCATCGACTGTGGCACGCAATGTGGCGAGTAGGACTCGTCAAGCTCATTTTAGAGCGGTTTCTTCAACGAATCCCTAGACATAATGTGTTTTATGCAAGCCTCAGCTTCTAGAACGGATCCGACAGCGTACCCTATCGAGCTCAGATCTGAAATGCTGTTCTACCACCGTTTAAGCCGACAAAGTCGAAAAAATCGGTTCTGCATCAATGCTGCACACTAGTACTGAACCACCCTTGCCTCGTAAACGGGAGCTCCTACTTGATGGAAGGCCCAGCAACGATTTTCAAAGTGAAAATAAACTCAGGTTAGCAATGGGCTCTGATAAATCCAAAAGAGCCCCCCTGATTCCTATCTCTCGTGACATCCAGTGAAACCAGCGCGTCAACTACCTGCAAATTCTATCGCACACAATCCTTAGATTGTTCGTGGTCGCCACAGAAACACGCCCTTCTCATCCAGAATGACTGCATTCAGCTCCTTGTCCCCTGTACCACTTGGAGCATCTATTGATAGTGCTCGGGTATACACCAAAACGATGATAATTGTCGCGTGCCAAAAACCCTCAACGTCGAAGTCCAATGATTTAGGGACGGTGTCAGTATCAGTCAACCGCTGCAGCTACCATAGATTTTTGGTGGTTGAACAAGGTAAGCATAAACAATTCTACACCACAGTACCAAAACTAGGACAGAAGAAAACAGCATCTGTGAATATCAGTTCAAATTGTTTGCTCATGCGTTGTCTCCGTAATTTTGGCGCACCCTGTGTACATATGTACAATTTTTCCGTACCCCAGAGGCAGTGAACTCGCTGAAATTGAAAGTGGCGTCGATAAAAGGTGGTTCACAATAACAGATGGATCGAGGAAGATGAAAGTCAAAGCAATGCGGCCACTCAGGTGGCGGGACAGATGAAGTGGAGAGTGCGTGGGGCCACAGCGGCTTCTAACGCAGGACCATAGCACCGCCGCCCTCCGACCACCATCTTGTTCTGAGTCTAGCCGTTTAGCAAAGGGAGAGCGTTAGCGTTGAAGTGGCAACACAAAAAGAGTCGCATCAATGCAAATCATCATGCAGAAAGGGGTTCCACTTCTCGAGTCCTGGGCTGTTTTTCATAGCTTTTGTTTTTCCCTGCACTGCTGGGCACCTCCACCATTGATTACCAACTGGTTGCCTTTTCATTGTGACTTCACCCTGACAACCTCAGCTGAAATCTGCTGGTAGTAATAGCGATTTGTAATGATGGAAGGGACGTGTCTAAACGAATTTTGAACCCCACAATCGCAATGCGATGCATAATAAATGATGGCGCGGAAAGGACGTGTCTAGATGAATTTTGAACACAACCGCATTGATGCAATAATACCATATTTATTTGTCGACTATCTTATCCGCTATGTCCGCTACTTCGCGAGGGCGTGAATGGTTGTGTGAGGGCGAGCGCGAGGTATCTCGTCCGTAAGTTCACATTAGTCGCCATCAGATCACTTTGTAAGGCCCTAGCGCCATTGTCGCGCACTTTCGAGCCGCGACAACGGCACATCTGTGATACTCATGGGCTACTCTATCCCACCCACAGAACAGATTCTTCGACACGATCTCATCAAGGGTTGTGATATTTTCTCTGGATCGCGTTTTTCCTTCTATGCGCAACCTTAAAAAGCCTCCAGAAAAATTCTGAATCGCGATGTTTCGTTGGAATTGTTGACGTTATGATGTAAATACGACGCCTCTTGCAGTTCTCCGTTGCTTACTAACGAAAATTTCAATCTGATCATTGAATTTGGTCTATAAAGCTTCAATCAACTAATCGATGTAAACTTTTCACTATAAAAATTGCCAGGGAAGCTTTTTAAAGCAGTGGAACTACAAAACGTTTTTCAAAAACTTGTTGATTGTCAGGTAAAGTTAGCTTCACCTGAAATTACTCCAAACAAGTCCATTTTCGTACAGAATCACAAAGGTGTTCTCGGACGGTGAACTGTGAATTGAACTGGACTTGCTGTTGATAATACATGTGTCCGGTGTCCAAATTCGTTTACGAAAATCAGACTGAAAACGGTTGAAAATGAAGCAATGAATTTCACTATAACGAAACTTCTGGTTTTGTTGAAAATCACATTAAAATACTACCTTCAATGTGATGTTCGTGGCGCAGACGTTGAGATGCTTGAACGCAAGTCGTGGATCCTGCCATATCTCGCTGTACATGACGTCCAATGAGAAATCACCGGTGATTTCTGATATACCCGAAACGCCCTAGAAAGTATTCGTAATATTCGTAAATGTGCTACTAGTATGAAATATTAGTATGGTATAGTACAGGTATAAAAACAAGTAGTAAACAGTGAAAGCAAGAAGGATTGAGCGTCCGGCATCGACTATGCCCTCTTGGAAATTTTCTTAACTGCTTTCACCAAGAATCGTATTGATGTTTGAATGCGATTTGCCCCATAGAGGGCCTTCTGG